GAAGGACGGGGGAGGGCAGGACGACGAGGAAGGTGGAGCGAGGAGCGAGGAGGAGGAGGAGGAGGAGGCTCGACAGCGACGACGCCTGCAGGGACGTCGGCGAGGGCGGGGCAAATGGCGAGACCAAAGTCCTTGCAATATCGGCCTCCAGGCCACCCAGGTGCAACCCGTTGGCCTTCGCCTCGGGCCCCGACTCGGGCCTTGGGCGGCCGTTTGGGCCAGGCGCATCTGACGGAAGCACCCCGACGCTGGAGAACCTCCGGGCACAAAAACTTCCGAGAACCCTCCCCTGGAAGCCGCCCTACCAGAACTCCGACATCGTGATTTTGCTCGCAGCAAGAACCCCAGAAGTCTAAGACCCCTTCCCAGGGACAGGCTTTTCATTCCAGGTCGCTTTTTGACGGCGCCGGGGCCCTGTCAGAGACCCCGGAGGCCGCACACCGCCCAAAGCCTCGCGCAGTGGCTCTGTCACAGCGAGAGGCGGTGGGGAGCTAAAGCGGCGACAATGACGACGACGACGACGACGGAGACGACGACGACGGCGACGACGACGACGACGGCGGCGACGGCGACGACGACAACGACGGCGGCGGCGACGGCGACGACGACGACGACAGCGACGACGACAGCGACGACGACGACGGCGAGTGGCGTCGGCGGGACCGCCGGGACGGCGGCGCCGCGCCATGCGGAGGCGGCCGCGAGCTTCGCAGCGGCGGAGGCGTCGAGGCGCGCCCCCTCCGAGGCGCAGGCGGCCACGCGGCGGCCCGGGCGCGCCGACGGGTGGGAGCTCAGGCGGGACAGCCTGCCGACGGCGCGGGGCGGGGGCCTCCTCCTCCTCCTCCTCCTCCTCCTCCTCCTCCCTCCTCCTCCTCCTCCTCCTCCCTCCTCCTCCTCCTCCCTCTCCTCTTATCCTCGACCCTCCGCCTCCGCTTCCGCCTCCTCATCCTCCTCCTCCTCCTCCTCCTCCTCTCCTCCTCCCCCTCCTCTCTCCTCCTCCGCCTCCCTCCCTCCCTCCCTCCCTCCCTCCTCCTCTTCCTCCCCCTCCTCCTCCCCCCCCCCCCCTCCTCCTCGTCCAACTCCTCCTTTTCCTCTTCCATTCCATTTCCTTTTGAATAACTCCCTGTTGCAATCCGAGGCCAATCGAAAATGCGGCCCGAACGTTTCACTTGAGCTGGGCGGACATTCCGATTTATGGGCCTCAAGCTTACAACAGGCAATAGTTTTACAAATGGAGGGCAAGTCGCTTCCAAAAAGTGGTTATTGCTTCAACGCCGTGCACATTCGTTTCAAACATTTGCAAAAGCTTCACGCATTGAGAACGGGCCGTTTTCAAACGCTCGCTTTAAACATATGCAAGAGAGCTTCACGGATTGAGAGTGTGTCCTTTTTTCAAAATGTGGCTCTCCTCTTAGCTTAGCGCCGCGCACATTCGCTTCAACATCACACGAATGTGATGGATTGAGGGCAGTTCCTTTTCAAAGTGTGACTCTCGCCTTGGCGCCGCGCGCATTCGTTCCAAACATTCAAAGTGTCATTGGTTCGCATGGCTCACGTACCAGACATTGCGTTATGGAGCCGTTCAGGATTGTCAGGGCGCAACAATTACATTGATTCGCGGTGTTGAAATCTCAGGAACGGTGGTATGGCACGATTCCGGATCGTCAAGACGCAACGATCAGTTTGGCTCGTGGCGTCGAGGTCCTGACAATGCTGGTTTGGCACGTTTCAGGATCTTCACACGGTCGTCCCCCAACGGGGCACTTCCATCAGTGGAAATGAATCCTTGTAGGGGTTGGCGCCGAGGGAATCTGGAGGGAGGGTGTACTTCAAAATGTCATCGCTGACGGGTCTGGGTTTGACACTGGTCCGCGGAGGAGCATTGCTAGGTGTGGGTCACAGATGTGGCAGACTCGTTCGTGTTGTGCTGGGTCCTGGCGACGTGAGTGGCCTTTTCGGCATCGTGCCGCACCCCCGCGCTGGCCCCAGTCTGCGGGCATCAGCCCTCGCAGGCTCGCAAATCACCAGAGAGGGGTGGGAATACACAGGTGTTTTCCCCCAACCCAGGATCATGTTCCTTGAAACTGCTTGTGGGATTTGGTCTGAATGGGCAGAGAGGGAGAGAGAGAGAGAGAAACTCCTCCCCTCCTCCTCCTCCTCTCCCCTCCTTCTCCTCCTCCTCCTCTCCTCCTCTCCTCCTCCTACGATCCTCCGCCTCCTCCTCTCCTCCTCCTCCTCCCCTCCTCCTCCTCTCTCTCCCTCCTCCTCCTCCTCCTCCTCCTCCTCCTCTGGGGATAGGAAGGCTGGTGTGGAGTGGTGGCGTTGGGGTGGTGGCGGGGGGCGGTGGTGTGGCATGCCCTCCTGCAGGCGGGCCTGGGGAACGAACGAACTGCCATACGCCGGAGCGCGTGGGCAAAAGACTTTGCCAGCCTGAACTCGCCGCTTTGCGGGAGCGACGGCACGTCGGCTGTCTCATAACGCACAGCGTGCGCGATTGGAGGAGGAGGAGGAGGAGGAGGAGGAGGAGCAGCAGCAGCAGCAGCATCAGCAGCAGCAGGGGAGGGAGGAGGAGCGAGAAAGGAGGGACGGCATAGTATACATAAGCTCCTGGCTCGACGGTGCCAGAGCGCACGGACTAGAAAGTCTGTTCTGGGTCCGGCCCCAAACTCTCAGCGAAACGGCGCAAAAAAAAATCAAGTTGGGGGGGGGCCGCACGTACTCCATGACGTGCTCGTCTGATGCGAACGCACCCGAAATGCAGTTGCGCAGGCACGATGATCATGCCCATGCATTCATCGGTCTACCCCGCCTCCGCTTGAGCGACGCTGTGGCCGAGCGGATCGAACCATCTTGAAAAGTAAGCTGTCTCAGAAAATCTCGGTTAGAAGCTCTGCCAATTTTCCTGAACAATGTCAGCTGATGCCTCAATGACTGCGCTGTGTATTGCTGTTGCCCTGCACGTTGTAGTACGTACATCCTTGTTTGAAATGTGCGTCAGAAAGGCCGGGGGGATGTGCAGCACATTCCTCAAGCATCTGGCTTGAAATCCGCCGAGTCTCCTCCGTTCAGCTTTGTTCAACCACGCCGTATTCAGAGAATACATCAGCTTGGATTTTACCAATGCTTGAAATAGTTCCAACTTCTGGGGCAAAGTGATAGCGGTATGTTCACATGCCCTCTCATATTTGCAAAACTCGGCCCATGCGGCCCCGATTCGCCGATTTTGCTCGGTACTCATTTGCCCCGCGTTGTATAAAGTAGCACCCAAATATGTCAAGCTGTGCTTTTCTGGAATGAGTTGCCCTGACGGTGTGTATGTATGCAATTGCACGTCGCTTCGTATCTTCATCATTTGGAACTGATCCCAATGGAGTTCCATTCCTACTTGGGCCGCTGCCAGAGCAATGTTATCCAGTAGTTGTTGAAGGCTGTCTTGGTCCCTCCCGATGAGCAGCGTGTCGTCTGCGTAGAGCAAGACTGATAGACTCCCCAATCATATCTCCATTTGCGCTTTGTCTCCCAGATTGCCCAGGGCATATGGCATCACAACTGTCATCAACATAACAAATAGAGATGGTGAGAATGGGCATCCCTGGGAGATTCCAGACACTTGCTGTCTCTCCGAGGATTTGGTTGCACCGCCTGCCACGTAAAACCACCGCGCATTGTAAATATGCCCAATCATGTTCAGCATGTGCGAGGGCTCCCCGAACCGGCGCAGTGCTGCCAGCAAGGCGTCAACGTGAACGTTAAGGCAGTGCTGCCAGCAGCTTGGAGGACAGTTCAAACAATCAAACAGTACTCGGAAAGCTGAGTAAAAAATCATCAAAATCGTCCCCCAGCTGTTTTTTTATTATTACTATTCTTGAATATTGATTTCAGGAGCCGAACTTTATACACCGCCGTTTTTCCTGGCCCTGCGCTGAAATTCGCACAGGGAAACGATCCTGGGGTATAGGGGATCCTGATGTATATATGTATGTGTGTAGATTTTTGTTTTCTCTCTCTCTCTCTCTCTATATATATATGTATATGTCGTCGCTTCCCCGGGAAAACGGGCAATAGTATACGCCGCACCACCCCGACGTCGTCCCCGATCCTCAAACAAAAATTTTGGGATTGAGAAGTAGCTCGCCACTGGCACTATATATGCTCCAGCTTCCGATGAGCATTCCTCCTGTAGGGGGACGTGCCCGACTTCAAGATCCTAGCCGCTCACGCCTCGACCCTCGGAGCACCGTGGGCCCTCGCGGCCCCGGCTTCTCGCACGCGCAGAGACCCTCGGCCCGCCCAGCTCCTCGGACCACGACCCTGGAACCCGGAGCCCCGACCGAGGAGAGCCTCGAGCCTCGACCCGGGAGCCTCGACCCGGGAGCCTCGATCCTCGAGCCTCGACGACCCTCGAGCCTCGAGCCTCGACGACCCTCGAGCCTCGACGACCCTCGAGCCTCGACCCTCGAGCCTCGATCCTCGAGCCTCGACGACCCTCGAGCCTCGAGCCTCGAGCCTCGAGCCTGCGCCGTCGGCCCCGGAGCCCTCGACCCTCGACCCTCGAGCCTCGACGCTCCAGGCTCGAGGTGCAGGCGCCGTGGTTCTGAGGGCACGACAGGTCTGGGGCCATACTTATCATCAAGGATTCTGCCTGGAGGCGCTCGAGGCCGAGCGAACCATCGAGTCGCGAGGGCATCGAGGAGATCGAGGAATCCCCGACCTCCTCGATAACCCTCCATGGCGTGGCTCCGCAGATACCCTCGACGCCCACGCTGCCCTCCACACCCCCGCTGCCCTCGCTGCCCTCGATGCCCGCGATCCCCTCGCCACCCCCGATGTCCTCGATATCCTCGAGGATATCGAGGGCAACGAAGATCTCGGATCCTCGATATCCTCGAGGATATCGAGGGATATCGATATCCTCGAGGATATCCTCGATATCCTCGAGGATATCGAGGGCATCGAGGACATCGGAGCTCCGAGGCTCCGGGGGTGTCGGCGCTCGGCGG